TGCCTTGGCCTCCCAGAGTGCTAGAATTACAGGGTGAGCCACTGTGCCTGGCAGGAAAACTTCTTAATTAAATTTATTAGGCAGCAACTACCAAGTCATAAGGCCACCCCTTTTACGGAGATATATTTTAGGGTTATCAGCTCTCCTCCCTCCTTTGGTGTTATTACTAAAACTTATTGACAAAAAGGAGTTTCCCAGGGCTATTGCTGGCCCAAATGGAAACTGAGAAATAGAGAAAGTCACTCCTTGAGATACTATACTCTACTGCCATCTGCTGGAAGATAACCAGAATAAATGTAAAAGCTACCCAAAGATGTTAGTGATGCCTGCTTAGATGTGGTGCTTTTGTACTGTGGATAACCCGCCTGAATTGTGTCAGCAGTGAGTGCCCCTGGTTCTTAGGACTAAAGGACTTGAAGATGATGTTCTATTCTCTTTATGTCCTCTCACAGTCAGATCCGATGCCGGTTTTTTACACGGGGGAATGGCCGCTGCCCCTTCAACTCTGACTGCATCTACCTTCACCAGCTCCCAACAAAGGCCCCAACCTCTGGTCCTCCCTTTCCCAAGAGCGTCCAACTGGCCAGTGGAAGTGAGGTAGTAACAGCAGGGATGGAGACAGGGGCCGGGGAGGCTGCTGGTCATGGCTTATAATAAATGTCTGTGATGAATGTAAAACCTGTGTATGATGTTCATGATGTTAATGGTGCCTACTTAGATGTGGCAGCTTTGTGCTATGTATACAACCTGCTCAACCTTATGTGTGAGTCTTGAGGTCTGTTCCTGGGGAAACGAGGTTGAAGCTGATGGGTTTTCGCTGATTTTTTTCTCTGTTCACTCCCAGATGCTGGATCCAATATTGTTCCTAGGCGGCAATGAGCCTGAGGATGATGTGTTCGTCACAGACTGTGCCCTGGCCATGGCCTTTTGGGGTTCAGAACTCCTGATGGATCCCAATAGTTCTTACCATGGCCTTCTGTAACTAGGATCAACTTGAGGGAGATGGGGGGTGAGCGGAAGGAGTTGTTAGGTGGTAGGTCTTTCCCTTTGGGGGCTTGTTGTGGGGCAAAAGTAGCAAGTCTTCTACCCCCACTGCCCCAACTGCATCAGTGACAGAGCTGGGGACATGGGGTAGCATACAGGGCTCCTGGAATGAGTAAGGGTTTACACTCTGTTGCCAGGGACTTGGGACTTGGTTTTTAACTTTGCTGTTTTGTAGAAGAATTCTAAAAGAAAATCAATAAAATGCACCTAAGCTATCACTGGTGGTGTCTGACAGGGGTCTGTTTGTTGCCAAGGGCAATCAGGTTGCTTGCTACATCTAATCTGTTGCAGTATCACCTATCACTTAGCTTCTGGGAAACTTTGCAGTAGGCTTATAAGAGAATAAGAGTGAAAAGGGGGGGAAAAGTTTAGTACTATGAAAAGAGTAAGACTACATGAATCCTATGGAATGTAGGGGATCCACCAGGGTCCTTGACTCAAGTACAGAACTCTTCCTCCCTGCTCTCTTCTAGAGGGCTAGCAGAGCAGACCTTGGTGGACAGCAGCCATAGCCATGTAGAAAAAAGCTATAGTTGGCTCAGTGCCTGTGGGTCAAGTGGCTAGGACGCCAGCCACATACACCTGAGCTGGCGGGTT